CAGTTTTTAAAAAATCGCCTGCTACAACCGGGAATCAGGCTCGTGCAATGTGAAACGAAAAAACACATGTATTTTATGATAGCCGTCGAAAGGGTTAATCATGAGGATAAATTTTTCCTAAATGACATAACATTTTAAATAAATAAAATCACAATTTTTGAAGTGAAAACTTCTTTAGCGGCGTTGTACACTTTTTTTGTATGGGTAAAAAATGCTAAACTCGCGTCATGACACGTGGGCTGGTCGCATCACAGGCCACGTGTCCTGATCGTAAGACGAAAAACAATAAAATTGGAAAGGTTGTTGACTTTCAATATATTGGACGAATCAGAGTAATATTTTATTTTATCGTATTATAATATAAGTCTGTATCTAGGACGTCCACGTGGCAGCTTTATTGCGAAAAAAAAAACATTTTTTTTACAATAGAAATCACTAGGTGCGCTTTGTAATATTAAAAAATAAAAGTTTGTTTTGAAAATTACTTTAAATGGATAGGTCGAAATTAATGAAAAAAAGAATACTCGGGCGCCAGACCTACCACATTATTAAACCATATTAGCCGGGAAAGCAATGGACTATTAATCACAAGAGAAGGCTTGATTGCAAAACCATATTCATTTTGGGTTGTCGATTTATTTAAATTTACTACAAAACTACTTAAGTCCAAAAGGGTTACTGCTAAATTTAGAAACTACTTATTATACTATGGCTGCTAAGATGTAAATGAAAATTTTACCTTATGGGTTCCGGTACCACAATGAATTTGGAAAGTTACCGAACTTGTTGCATCTGTGTAGTGGCTATGTCTGGTGTCGTAATACTTAAGGGATGTCGCTGTTACATCACGGGACTGTTCACTTTCTCATCATGGGAAATGTTGAAAGTTGATTATAAAATCCAAATAAAAAAAAAACGCTTTTCGCGTTTTTTAAGCTTGGAATGCGATACCCGCCGTTCCGAACAAAAGGTGCAAAATGTTACATCATCAAAAACAATTGAAAATCCAATGGATTATCATGATAAAAATTACGATTTAGATTCTTACATGTTTTATGTAAAATTTTTGGTCGTGAAGTGAAGTGACAGGTCTTTTCTTAGTTTGTCTGGGCGGTAGGCAAAGAGAACAATGTCCATTCAGCCTACTGCTCGATAAAGGCAGAAACACACTTACCCAAAAGTGCACAGATTAAAGAAAATGGGCGCGAGATAAAAAACGACCAGAGAGACAACCAAAAAAAAATCTTCTATCTCGCTCTTCGAGCGAAGGAGATCCATGTGACGTTTTTAACACGTTACAGCTTAAATGAGAAATTCTGAGAGATAAACATTTTAATGTGAGAAAAAAACAGAAATAAGAGACTTTTTACAGATTTCATTTACAAATTAATATTTTCGCACAGTGAATTGAAACTAGCTCCCAGCATCATCAGCCTATTAATATCCTCACTGCTGGGGCACAGGCCTTCCCTACTGATGGAATACGGAGATTGGGCCAAGACCCACCACGCGGGCTCAGTGCGTAACGGCGGGTGCTAACGACTGCAGATGCAGCCGGGACCGACGGCTTAACGTGCCTTCCGAAAGAACTCAAGATAGAAGATTTTTTGGTCACCCATCTAATGACAGACCACTGCGAAAGTTGCTTAATTTCAATGATCGCAGCTGAATGTGCTAACCACCCGCGCTATCGAACTCCTCAGCTCCTTAGCTCCCATAGTAAGAAGTAATAGTGATGAGAAAAGACCATTCCTGTGACATATTTAATATAAGTTTGGTGGGTACATTTCGCCCAACCTCCTTTTAAAAAAAATCTTTTTCGTTTAGGTTCCAATTGCTGAGATGGCAATGCTACCCGCATATATAATTACTCTAATCTACAATCAAAGGAAGAAGTGCCCACTTAGATAAGAGCTCAACAAAGGGTTTTTCCAAATGGAAATATATATGAGGCTATAAATCATGCATGCCCCAATAATCTCGATGATAAATTGTACAGTTCTTTGACCCTACATTGGATTAAAGAAGTTTGCAAACACTAATTTGTATGTTTGCCAACTACTACACAAAAAGCATTTATGTAAATCAGAAAATCTAATATATAAAATGGTGTTTGTGGTTAAACTCCTCCGAAACGGCCTTCCCGATTCTCATGAAATGTTGTGTGCATATTGGGTAGGTCTGAGAATCGGACAACATCTATTTTTCATCCCCCTAAATGTTAAGGGTAATCCACCCCTAAATTTTTTTTTTCAATTTTAGATATTTTTTTTTAATTTTTTTTATGATGCATTAGTAAATACATATAACCCTGAATTTTCAACCTTTTACAATCAACCCCTATTTTTTAATGGTGGTACGAAGTTCGCTGGGTCAGCTAGTAAATAAATAATAATTGTTCATATCTGCTACGAGCACTTTTTGGAGATATCAACATTTCCATCATTATCACCAGTATACTCTAGTATACTAAGTGGTTTTCGAATACTGCTATGTGAATTTTAGCCTTCTAATGGTGAACAGAGGTTGCTTTAAAATATGCTATGTGCATCAGCCAGACTATTGTCAAATATTAACTGCCATGTTATAACTTGCTTTTTTTTACACAGCCAATATTGGTCTGGCACTGTAAAATAATAAACATATAAGATTTTGGCTACACTTTGTCTATAAGAAAATAAAAAGAAACAAGAAATTAGTTTAGGCTAGTAACACTGTGTTATGATCATGTCACTCAAATGCAATTTGTCATAATAATAGGCAGAGACAAAATATGGAGTCTGTAATCCAAGCATAATCTTTGTAGTTTACTGAAGTGACTAAGTTTTCCATTTAGAAAGAAAAAGTTTCCTGAAGTGACTAAGTTTTCCAATTAGAAAGAAAAAGTTTACTGAAGTGACTAAGTTTTCCAATTAGAAAGAAAAAGTTTCCTGAAGTGACTAAGTTTTCCAATTAGAAAGATAAAGTTTCCTGAAGTGACTAAGTTTTCCAATTAGAAAGAAAAAGTTTACTGAAGTGACTAAGTTTTCCAATTAGAAAGAAAAAGTTTACTGAAGTGACTAAGTTTTCCAATTAGAAAGATAAAGTTTCCTGAAGTGACTAAGTTTTCCAATTAGAAAGAAAAAGTTTACTGAAGTGACTAAGTTTTCCAATTAGAAAGAAAAAGTTTACTGAAGTGACTAAGTTTTCCAATTAGAAAGAAAAAGTTTCCTGAAGTGACTAAGTTTTCCAATTAGAAAGAAAAAGTTTACTGAAGTGACTAAGTTTTCCATTTAGAAAGAAAAAGTTTACTGAAGTGACTAAGTTTTCCATTTAGAAAGAAAAAGTTTACTGAAGTGACTAAGTTTTCCATTTAGAAAGAAAAAGTTTCCTGAAGTGGCTAAGTTTTCCAATTGGAAACCTTTTACCCCCCTATTAATTACAAAAACTATGCTTGGATTACTGATTCCATGTTTTGTCTTCGTCTATTAAAACAACAAATTGCATATTTGTGTCATGAACGAAACATGGCATAATTAGTCTAAACTTTTTCATTGTTTATTAATAACAGGGTTATAGTATGTGTGTGCGTGTTGATTACAATTAATGTGAAAATTTCTTTACTTTGCCACAGTGACAATGAAATAAGATAACTGAAGGTGGTGCCGTTTCTATTGGTTAATAAGGTTATTTGTTATCGCAAAAATCTTCAGGCTATCATCATCAGGTGATGTATGTACATGGAGGACTATACCACCTCTGGAGATTTCTACATACAAAAGACCATCAATTGGAGCATAATTATGCTTGTTTTAAAGAAAATATACAACACATTCTTCATTTTAAATTCAAAAGATTCAGTTTTTTATGCAACATCAGAAGTAGTTCACAAAATATTGTATTTCACTCTAAATTTCATGGAACTTGGTACTATATATTAAAAGTGGTTAAGACACACAGGGCTTTTTGTCTGGAAAAATGTAAAATATTTACACATTGCAGTAAAGTGGAGCTGCTGCAAGAAAGCTTGCCTGACTAAATGCAGGTTGGGCAATTACCTGACTTTCGTATTGAAACTGTTTTGTACTGTTTTTTGTATTGTTTTGTACTGATTATAACAATAGGTTCACATCAATCGATATATTTAACTGTTCACTCAAAAATTGGAAAAAATATATACATGATATGGTAGACAGTTCATAATTATTAATTGTAACCAACAAAACTTGTTATTTTTTTTTATTGGTAAAAATATTAACATCTTTTTCTTTCTCAATTTTAACTACCTGAACTCCTTTATATGTTTTATATTACAGTGGAAACTCTACTGATATATGTTTGTTAATTAGATGTAGGTATAAGTATTAATTCATTGTTTGTTTCCCAAATAAAGATAAAATAAAATAAAGAGAAAATAAAACATTAGAAGCGTGTATGACGTATTTATAACTATAAAACATCATAGATTTAAAGCAATATCTAAGGCTAAAGCTTTATTAATAGAAAACACATTTCATGTATCAATTTTGCCCATTTATTAGGTATTTCTAACCATTTTTTATCGTGATAGGTGATAGGTACGGATATAAACTTGCATACGGACTTAACGTATGTAGGTAAGTACTTATACGTATTATTATATTAATAAACAGCTGTTGTTACGACGTTTATAGTGGACAACTACGAGGTTATCTTCGATAATCAAGACAAAAAAACAGTTAATCCTTTAGACAATGCTTTTGTGGTATCGTACATCAACAGCGACGAAATTTTAAAGGTGAGTCATGGAAATCTTTTATGAATTAATTACAATACCAAGCAAGAAAACATTTTGTAACCTGTGCAAAATGACAGAACAGTCTTCGATTTAAATAACAATACAACGTTGCCCGCATCTACGTAAAGTAAGCAATACTTGCGACGTAAATACAACAATATTTACAAAGTTAAAATAAATATCAAATACACTTGGTATTGGTAGTACTGCATTTTTTTGTTTATTTACGTAGCGAAGGACTTACCTCGAATAGCTTCAGCAGTATGTTGACATACAGCCTCCTCACACCGAGGGATTTTCCAATGGAAGCCAAGAATATCACACACAATATTAGCAGAAGAAACGGTGTGTACAATATCGATACCGCAACCGACACAAACGACATTATTAACGCCATTTTCACAACTGATTGGTGATGATGAATGAAAGAAATGATTGACAGAAAATGACATGACGTCATTCATTGAAATGTCAGTCGAGAAATTGCAGATTGCCAGTACAAAAAAATAGCCTGATTCTGGCATGATTCTTTAACCTCCTGAGTGAAACTGTAGTATATTTACAACATAGAAAGAAAAAAATCCTGCACCGCCATCTAACGAAATTTGCTCGATCTTTTAATTTCATTTCATAGACAAAACATATATCAGCCATAATGATCGGTGATTGACTGAGAAAGTGGCTTAGATTTTTTTTTATTGTTCATTTTACGTCGACGTTGGCTTCGGTACCCGTACCCCGTGATATGATTCTTTGATTTTTTTATGAAAACCTGTGTTGCTTGTAAAGATTTTATTAGTTAATTGTTTGTTTTGATGCATTTATCGTAATTACACAACGATATTGTATTTCACCACATATAAAACTAAAATATTAACAGTAAAAGCTTTATGTTGTACTAGTAATACATTGGTTCTCAACGACTTCTGTGTTTACAGAATGTCCAGTGTAGTAACTATACAACATAAAACATTTTTACTTTCCATTACATTCTTTGGTATTGTTTTATTAGTTTTGTGGGATAATGAAATCAATGTGATTCTTCTAAACATCTTAGAATCAAATATTGAGTTGTCGGATAAAGTGAATCCAACAGAAGAGATCCATTCAGCGCGAAACGATGATAGCAGTGACTTTGACTCTCGTTCTTCAAATGCTTCGGATACAGAAGATAGAATTCGTCCGGTATCTGAACATTTTTTGTGGTCTTCTATTGCTGTTACCCACAGTAGTCATGTCAGGACCAGAAGTGGGCCCTGTACGCGTGGTGGTCGATCGACCCGTGCAAGAATCAGAGGTGGTCGACAAAGCGCAACATTTTTACCATCATCCGCAGAATGGTAATAATATGTGGACTTGTAATTTCACTCCTTTAGGACTTTTTTTATCAGCCAAGATATATGGAACTGAATGCGGATTCATCAGGAGTTTTTTTAACAATATATAAAAGACAGATGCTAGACGCCGCAAATAGAACATATCTTTTGAAAAAAAAAGAAAAGAGTTGGAAATGAAGTTAATTTTTTTAAAAACATTCATAGGCATCCTGTCCTGTTCATGGGGTCTATTAATTTAGCTAGCTAGCTATAGTAAAGTATTGGTCAGATATACGGGATTCAAATCATAAAATCTATCAAGTCAGGATAGGAAGGACTGGAAAACGAAATTGTTTTTATGGAGATTCACACGCCAAACTTTTGATAGGATTTTGATAGGTAGGTATAATTATTTTTAATTTTAACTCTGTCAAAACGTTATTTATTTTCTAGTGAGATTTATGTTGAAACTTCGTAACTTTTAAGATAATAAAACAAATATGCTAACTCCGATTTGAAAAAAAAACTACTAAGCCTAAAATTAGAAAATAAATGCCTCTATACTTAATTATTTGAATTAAATTTACTATGCATTAAATTATTTATGCATCAAATGTACATAAACAATACGTACTCACTATTATTACATAAAATATTTTTTATTTTGTAAACATACTGCATTTTACACATTAGGTATACAGAACTGATGTTGTATATATACTACATAGAGAAAATCTAGATTTTCCAACAAACTTTTTTTTTTATATTTTTTGAGAACATCTAGTCACCTATAAAATCGATCCAGTAAGTTTTAAATTAAACTCCCGAAAATAAAAGTTGTGGTTCTCAGGAGGTTAAACCTAAATAAAAGTAAATATACTGTATGTATCATGTTTAAGAGAGAATGAAAAGAAGAGACTGCTGATCATTTTGGTGGTCGTAAGGATTTCATTTGTAGTATTTACTCAAAAAAAAAGCTTTGATTTTCATGCCTTACAGTTTCATTGATAAATTATGAATGAATCATGAATCTTGAATTACAATCTTCAGTTTTTAGGTCCTATGTGTTGAATACCTTTCAGAAACATGAGATATGCAATTTTCAGAATAGAAAATAAAATATAATAGAGAGGCTGTATGGAGTTTTGGCTTAGAATCATTTGCCTTCTATCTATTTCAATATTTTAAGATTAAAAAACAAAAAAAAAAAATTGTGCCTCCTGATTTTTGAGGAATAAATCCTTTTTATTTGGATTTCCTACTAGAATTATCCCCAAAAATGTCTGATCTTCCTTTTGGACCTCCAGTGCGAGTATCGCCACTCATCAGGGTATGATTTTTACTATAAAATTAGTTATATCTTGCTGGAATCATTATGTAACCCTTCAAAGAATTTTGTTTCCATTTTCAAATTTATATTATTCAATTTGATCGCTTTTTGTTAGCATTACGTTAGCACTATCTTTTTGTCACTTTTTTCAGTAAATTGTCTGAAAAGTTTTTATTAGTAAAAATTAGTAGATAACCTTAGACTTCAGACTGTTAGTTCGAAAAAATCGGTGCCTTAAATGTGATATTGATAACGCCTTATAACTTTATTTATAAGAGTGATATTCATAGTCATAGTTTCTTTGATCAAGAGTTCTATAGAGAACGGGTTGCATACAAAATCAAAGCTTAAAACTGCCCGCATATCGTTAAATTTTTAGAGCACCGTTCAATTCCCAATGAACAAAGATAATATGTTTTAAAACACTTTAATTTGTACCTAATAACAACTATCACACAAAGGAATAAGGTAATAACAAAATGTTATTTCGCACATACAACCTTTTATCTTCTAAAACAAACAAGACAATTTAAACAAATTATATCTGATATTTGGAAAAAACGATAAAAGTAAAAAAAGGAAAATGTTAAATCAACCTTATGACCCACAAAATAAAATATTTTTACCAGCCACTGGCCAGCGAGTTACTTCGTTTTGTATTAAACTGACTAATTTAAAATAAGATCTTACTCTTCAAGTGAGGCTATATTTACTGAGATGGATTTTACGCGCTGACCGCTTATATATAGAATATTTAACCGAAGTCAAGCTTATAGTCTATCTTGTCAGGATTGTATTTATAGACTGTTGCATTCAGCTATAGATGCACCAAATATACTTGAATTGCTTAACATTAATATCAGGTATAGATGGCGTTTTCCTAATACCTCTTCAATTCAAGTGTACAAGAATAATACATCCTTTTATAATCGTGGTAAGAATGTGTCATATAATGAATATGCTCGTGGCAATAGGGGCATGGATATATATTTAATGGAAGGTTATCACAGTACAAATGAGTCGTGACCAATATTATTAAAGCCAAATGGTCCTCAGATAGTAATTAAAACCTACATTATTAAGTAAAATTATATTTTATTTTATAAGTTAAGATTAAGCTTTGCCTTCACTTCTATGTGCTGTTCAATTTTAATCATGTTGTGTACACATTCAAAGTAGTACTGTCTAGATTACATCAACTATAATTTTATGTTAAACATGTATTGACTGTATTCTGTTAGTGTACCGATAATAAATAAATATCTTCCAGAATTTATTTTCAATATAAATTCATAAAAAGTATACATGCATAGAGATTGGTTTCACATTAATTTATCATCGATGTTTCGCAGCTTTTACTGAAGTTTTTCTTTGTCCGAATTTTGGTTAGATCTCATGATTAACAGCTGATATTCGGTGAGCTTAAATTAATTTAAAAAAGAATTAGAGTAGTGAAAAGCAATGTATTTTAAAATTAAATCTTGATCAAACAATGTTTGTTAGCAAATAAGTAAAATGTGGATGATTGTTAGCATTTGTTATTATTGTCCTAGACAATAAAAACATCAAGTATCAAAATTTGCTTTATAAAATATCAATTGTAATAATCAGCAAGCTAACATAACATTATTAATTTCTTCTTTGTAACTTATTTTAGATAACATTTTGACTTTTTGTAATTATTTTTATTGTATTTGACCTTCGGCAGGCTAATTCAGTGCAATACTAATAAAAACTATACAAAAAAAAAAACTTAAATTTTTTTTTTAAAGAATGATAATAAATTAAAATAGCTAAAATAAGAGATCATTCCATATTTCTTTTACAAATAAGCCTGTTAATGTATTGAATAGAGGAGGTTGCACATTTTTTTGTTGGTTTAAGTCAGACAACAATATTTGACACCAAAACAAAAATATTTTAAAACTATTAATTAATGTTTGAAACAAAAAGAACAATTTACTCTTTTTAATTTCCAAATACTTATGAAGTTTAACCACAAGCAGAACAAATTATCATATGCAGTTTCATTCACACCTGTTTGACTGCGTTTTGGTTAAATCGGTACGAATCTAGTCAATGAATAAATAAATATACAATATACTCTGAACTCTTCATTAAAGTATTTAATGTTATCCATTTACTTTTATCACACAAAATAAATGTTTAAATCGTTCTGGATTCCAGTTTGGTCGTTGGTCATTCCTGACGGCCGGTGTCCTGTACGGGGCCTTCCACCAAAGCAGGCTGTCCAAGAAGGAGGCCAAGTTCCGTGAGATCGAGGCCAAAGAGAAGGTGGTCAGGGACGCTAAGATCAAGGCAGAGAAGGAGATGGCTGCCGCTGGTAAGAAATGTGCAGATTAAAAATTGAGCATGATGTGAGGTTGTTGTTGTTGTAATGGCGCCCGATTATTGTTTAGTAATATTTTACTGAAGTACCTTATGTCTTAATCCAAGTCATAAACTACACTCGCGAGCAAAAGTTTTGAAATCACTTCCTTGAAATTGGTTCCGCGCGATCTTGCTTACTAAATAAATTTTTAATTATCATAAAAATGATATCATTTTAAAAGTTCAACTGTCAACTTTAAATTGATAATTACCCTTCTTGCAATAGGGCTACGATTTGTGCTGCTTCCGTAGGTGTTGTCTCCATTGTCGTACAAGGTAAAGGGTCAAATGTAGCGGAGATGTGTACCGGTCAAAGTGCGAAAGTCGACTGATCAAGAAAATCCGATAACAGGTGTCAATAGGTCGCAACTCGCGACAGAGGCGGCCTTACCGATTGCGAGGCTCCGGGCGGCAGGTCTTTGCGAGGCCCTTTGTCCTTCGTGAAAAGTATGTGATGCGAAAGTAGGTCTGGTTGTTTGGTTTAGGTATTTGTCATGTTTAAGGAAAAATGCTTAAATTATACAAATAAATCAAATTTGAATTTTAAAATATTTTACATTGAAAGATTCACAAAATTAACAAATACAGAGATGATAAATTTTAAAATTGAGGTATGCGGCTTTTCCTAAGAGTAAAATCTTTAATTAAAGCACAATAATCTAACGAATAAGCTACGTCATTTTCGATTGAAAGAATAGCGAGAGCCGATCTTGTGTCATTGAAAAAATAGTTTTTTTTTTATATTTTTAAAATTTGCGTGGGTTGTTGCGCGAGGCCACTGTAGGAGCGAGGCCCCGGGCGATTGCCCTGTTCGCCACCCCCTAAGACCGCCACTGACTCGCGACGTATCAAACAACTGAAAGTTATTCCTTCACTTAATCCGGGATAGCTTCTTAAATACTGGCTAGATTTTAATGAATTCGGTGTCAGTTTAAAGTTGAAACTTTTAAAATTATGTCATTTTAATGATTATTAACCCCTTGGCTGTCCCAAAAGACTGTCACTTTACCAGCCAAGCAAACAGTTTTTGCCTTCTTTGGGGCACGTTCCCCGGTAGAAGTCCATTGCTTCGACTGTTGCTTAGTCCGACCGACGCATAAACTCACTCGGATTGCTATTATACATGGCTAGGCATTCCTCAGAAGCTATCACACCAATTCGTTTCTGGTCGACTGTTAGTAAACGCGGCACCCACCTTGAAGAGAGATTTTTCATGCCCAGAATATCATGCAAAATATAAAAAACTCGTTTAGTGGAGATGTGCACAGCATCACTTATTTCGCGTAACTTCACTCGACGGTCTGTCAAAACAATATCATGGATTTTATTAACCATGCCCTCCGTAGTGTTAAATATACTGTACTCCGTATGTTGATTAGGCAGCAAATATATATATATATATATATATATATATTGTACATTTATATTGTGTTTATGGTCGATTTTGGTTCTGCAATTGGATACAGATCCAAAGCCGCCGCTATGTGTTTATATACTATATACCTACCTATACCTCAATCGGCCTTCCTGGGCGCTCCGCGTCATTACTGGTAGTACGTCCACAAAGAAATTCAGTGAACCACTTCTGTAACATCCCATGAGAAGGCGCAGAATAACCATAATACTTTTTCAATTTGTCTTCGGTCTGCTTAATAGTTTTACCACGTAAAAATCAGCACTCAAAACTCGCTTTTCTCTATTTTCAAAGAATACTTAGAAGTTGCCTAACTTATTTGTTTCTAAAAAGCTTGTTTTCGCGCCAAAATTGAAAAAATAACATCATGGGCTTCGTAGTGAGTTTCCAAATATGAGATAAAAAATAAATATTAAAAAGTTTTTATTCAACCTTAAAGTCATTAAGTTGCCAAACTGCCTTCATATACACTCGCGAGCAAAAGTCTGGAATCACTTACTTGAAATTGATTCCGCGCGATCTTGTGTACTAAATATAATTACATAGATTTTTTGGATAAAGGCAAGACAATAAACGGAGCTTACTATACTGCATTGTTAGATAGATTCGATAAAAAGTTATCAAGTAACGACCGCATCTAGCAAAGAAAAAAAATCTATTTCATCAGGATACTGCACCGGTCCACTCGTCTGCAATCGCGACATCAAAAATTGTCGAATTAGGATACGAATTATTGCGACACCCTCCGTATTCACCAGTTTTTGCCCCCTGTGACTTTTTCCTCTTCCCAAACATGAAGAAATGGCTTGGCGGGCATAGATTTTCGTCAAACGAAGAAGTGGTAGCCGAAACGGAGGCCTATTTTTCTGGATTTGACAAAGAATATTTTTTTGTTGGGTTGAAGAGGTTGGAACATCGCTGGACTAAGTGCGTGCACCAATTAGCCTAGCCCCAAAGTAAGCACTGTAGGCTTGTGTTATGGGATACTAAGGTAACAGAGAGAATACATATACTGTACTTAAATAAGTATATTTATATAGAAATACATATTAAACATCCATGACTGGAGTACAAACGCTTGTATTCAGCACAAAAACATCTGCCCCCGCCGCGTTTCGAACCCCGGACCACTCGGCCACGGAGGTCGTCAAATATAATTTAAGGTTGACTTTTTCACCCCCCCTCCCGAAATAAATAACAAGAATCCTAGTTATTTTTTTATATTTATTGTGTATTCAATAATACTTATTCTATTTCTTATGGAGTGCTAGCATCCGAATTATACTTGCGCGATGTAGGCTTCCATACGTATTGATCGCAGCGTCGGTAGCGCCATCTCTTGAGGAGGCGAGTGATAATTTCCTCCATCTATTGGATATATGGGGCATATAGATGTCGCCACCCCAACACGTCTTCGGCAAAATCTGTAGTTTCCTTCGCCCCCTTTGTTACATCACTTGGTATTTGTATTTGAAGTCTTATTTATTTTTTTATGTTTTTTTCCCATGTGTTATTTTTAGTAACTTATGTTATTCAAGTTGTGTACATTTTTGCTGGCCTTTGGCTGTTTAATGTACCTTTAAAAATAAATGAAGATAGTTGAACCACTTTTAATATCAAATTTTATTTTGCAGCGGAACTCAAATCTTTAGAAGAGATGGTCAACACTCCCAAGAAATGAACCGGAAGCGCCAACCCTAGTTTCTAAGTTAATAGTGCACGCCATCTTGTAAAGTTACGCCATTTTGAATTAGCCAAGTCGTCTTTCATTTTTTTGGAAGTAATACGCAATACGGCATTCAAAATGGTGAATTCCATCAACTTGTAAATTATGTTGTATTTAAAATCTAGATGATTATACTGTAAAATTTTGTAAGATTGTTTTATTTACCCCCTTATTAATAACCGAGGAATATGCTTAGATTAGTTGCGCCGTGTTTTATTCATATCACTCAAATGCCATTGTTATGAACAGAGATATAACACGGAGTAATCTAAAAATTCGCCATCCATTCGCATTGTAGGTAACCCACAATGTCAAATTAATACCTTTACAAGTATTAAATATTAGAAAGACTTTTTGGCGGGATCGGAAAGCGTCATTTTAGCAGTTTTGTTTTTCTTGCTAAAAATTGTGTTATGGCGGATGTTAGTGTCTAATAATGGTGGATTATTAACCACTAAGTGTTCGTAAACATGCACAAGTGTTGGCAAGTGAAACAAAATAGCGGAAAGTGTCTTTCGACGTTCCCTCAAGAAGTCCACGGGGAGGTTCCAGTAAATCCCCACACATTTACTGAAACATAGGGAAAGGGGAATTGACTTGACTGCCACTTACTTTGACTTGATTTATTACTTTGACCACGAGTGCTATAGAATTTGTAAACATTTTAACACTTGACATTGGCTAAATGCACAAGCTGTGTGAAGCCATTTAGGAAAAAAAAACATAAGAAAGAAGAAATGGCAATTAAAGTTATATAGTTATTGTGGGTTACCTACATTGCGAAGGAATGGTGATGCCTTGCAGCCTAATAAGTACTACAGAAAATTCGACACGGCCATCAGGGCCACGGTAGCATAATGGTCAGCGCATCCGCCCGGATACTGGAGGGTGCGGATTCGAGTCAAGTCAAGATTCGTGGCCGTACGAAGTTGTAGAATAAATGAAAAAAAACATTCAAGTAATCACTTGAGAACAGACATTGAGAAGTAATTTTACCACGGCCGTAGCTAGTGGGGGCGGGGGTTAAGGGGCATTGTGAGGCAATGCTCTACCTTAAAAACACCAAAAACTAAGATAATTTTTTATAATTAAATTCTTTGTTCATAGTTTGAGATAAAAAAAAAGACGAATTGCACTCCGGGAGTGCCGGCAGAAGTGAAAACTTGAATATTAACGTTGTGCATTTTTGATATTTTGGAATGGTTAGGGAATAATTTTGCACGAATCACGAAAAAAGTACTATCAATTATGTGGTAGAATACAATATTTATTTACTGCGCTATCGTACACAAACATGACAATTTATATTACATCAAAAAAGTTTATCTCTCAGAAAAACCAACTTTCACGAATCACGTTTAAGCGCACTTAGCGACATCTATTGTAAAGAAATCAACTTACATGAATCACATTTAAGCGCACCTAGCGACATCTATTGTAAAAAAAATGCATTTTCTTCGCAATAAAGCTGCTACGTGGACGTCCCATATTAAGACTTATTATTATAATACCTACGGTAAAATAAAATATTACTATGTTTCGTCCAATATATTGTAAATCAACAACCTTTCCAATTTTATTGTGTGTCATGATGCGATCAGCCCTCGTGTGTAATCTGACGCGAGTTTAACATTTTTTACCCATACAAAAAAAGTGTACAACGCCGCTAAAGAAGTTTTCACTTCAAAAAATAGTAGCAATAGGTACCTATCTAAACTTTTCTGAACATAACACAGTTTCTGACATCCATTTCATATTATAAATAATTCTTTGTTATGTGTATAGATGGCATTTGAAGCGCCATCACATTCATGTACTGACCATCGCTTCAGCGATGGTTCTATCTGTGATGCAGAAGGAATTCCTCATACTATTGCAATATGGGCTATATTGCAATCTTTCGTACGGGGAATCGCGTACTTAATAAACATTAACTAAAGATTGATTATGATTGTTTGTAATTTGGTTAAGTAAAGTGTATGGTAAAGAGTGTTTTACTCAAAAATCAATACAATTGTTATTTCTATCAATACGTTGTCAACTTTTATTGCAATTAATAGGCCTCAAAGATAATGGGTCACGAAGAGAATGGCTGGTATGATATTTCCGGCCTTGAAAAAAAAGAACAAAATCAGTTGATCTGAACGAAGTGTTTTATATTTTAAATCGCCAAAATCTTTAAACAAGCCGAAAATATTGGAGATATTTGTGACTTAGTTGCTAGACTAGTTAAAATCTAAAGAAAATTTTACTAGACAAAATTTCAAGCGGGCCAGGCAGTAGATGGGACTAGAACCTCCGCCGACTCCGCTATCCGGGTGGATACACTGACCAATTTATTTTACCGCGATTTTAATGACCGTGTTGAATTTCCTCTAGTGTTTCTTAGTTTTTTTTTGGGAAAATTATAAGCTAAACCGTTGTCCGAATTCGCTAGTATTTTTTTTCAGGTCAACATTTACTGTTTATAGGTACTTAAATAAATCATATTATTAAAAATTCGTTCGATGAATCCCTTTGGAACTTCTGCGTCTAATATTATGCAACTTGGCAGCTTTTCTTTATGGTAGGTATTTGCAATTTTCCACATTATTATTTACGTTGAGGAGCTCAATGGCGCAGGTGGTTAGCGCGTTCGGCTGCGATCGTTGAAGTTCAGCAAATTTCGCAGTGGTCGGTCATTGGATGGGTGTCCAAAAATCTTCTATCTCGAGTGCCTCTGAGCTTCGGACGGCACGATAAGTCGTTGGTCCCGGCTGCATCTGTGGTCGTTAGCACCCGCCAATCCGCACTGGGCTCGCGTGCTGGGCCATGGCCAAATCTCCCTATTCCATGCATAGAAAAGGCCTGTGTCCCAGCAGTGGGGACAATAATAGGCTGATGATGATGATTTTTATGTTAATAGGGTGGCAAACAAGGCAGACTCCCTACGTCTTTCGTCTTGAATATATTGTATTAAACTTTCATGGTCACTAACATTATAGCTATTAACGGGTTTATTATGAGTCTCCGATATGTCTGCCAATAATATCTACCCAAAATTCCTTCAGTTACTCCGTGATCATGGCGCTGCCGAAATATCGGAGACTCATAAAAAACAAGGTACATGGCCAATGACTACAATACTACTAAAAAACAAGGTACATGGCCAATGACTACAATACTACTAAAAAACAAGGTACATGGCTGCCATCCGTCCGGGTTTCCCCGGATTTGTCCTAGTTTACGGGGCGTCCGGGGAGCGTCCGGGCGGGGTTTCATTTGTAGTCCGGGTTTAAAAATTTACGGCAACGCATGAGTGGCCCTAGGTGCTACAAGTGTCCATGGGCAGCAGTGACCACTTATTATGAGGTAGACCGCTAGCTCTTTTGCCTAGATCAACATAAAAAAGTTGATTTGTGACATTTTTAACTGTTTTTTTATTGGTCTGTCCGGGTTCTGGGCTTCAAAATCCGGGGTTATCACGCGTCTTATCCTGGTTGCTACATTTTAGAGATGGCAGCCCTACCAATGACCAATCATTCATCTATGATACATACATGGTAACAATCCCGTTAATAGCTATAATCTTTTGTCTCTTTTTCTTCTTAGTATTAGATTGGTGAGCTGAGGGACACTGGTATCGGTTGTCATATTGGCGATGTATGTGTAAATAATATAAGCTATGCAGACGATATGGTGCTCCTCAGCCCCTCAATCAGAGGTCTCCGTAAACTTGTTTCGATCTGTGAACATTATGCTAATGCTCACGGGTTGAAATACAATGTTGCAAAGACAGAAGTTATGATCTTCAAGGCGGGACGGGGTCCGGAGAACGTACCTGATGTATGGTTGAATGGCTCGGTGCTTCGGGTTGTACAGCACTTTAGGTATCTCGGGCACATCCTTACGGAGAACGGAAGGGACGATCTCGATATTGAGCGAGAGAGGCGGGCATTATCAGTGAGGTGCAATATGCTCGCGCGAAAATTTGGTAAATGTTGTGATGAGGTTAAATTCATGTTGTTTAACCTATACTGTCAATGTTTTTACACTTGCCAGCTATGGGTTGATTTTAATCGTAGCTCGTACCGTTCCATAAGAGTGCAATACAATGATGCTTTTCGTATTCTTATGAGACTACCGAGATACTGTAGCACGTCGGGCATGTTTTCAAATGCTCGTATATCAGACTTTTATGCTGTTATGAGAAGATGTATAGCCTCTTTTTGGTCACGAATATGTCTTTCTGATAACAGCATAATCAAAACTGTATGCAAAGGACTTGATAATCCTTTATTCAAATACTGGATTTTAGTGCACCAGAGTGAGAACCGATAATGACGTAGGTAATATTATACTACCTGTTTTACTTTTACTGTTCTTTTATGCTTTTATGATTTTATTTTATTTTTTATTACTATTTTGTTTTTATTGGGTTTTTTTTGCCTGGAATAAACAATTATTATTATTATTATATAAAAGTGAAACAAAGGTATAGATAAAAGGGTATAGGTACAAGGAGATTCGACCGGAAGTTAAAATAACATATTTGCTATGTTATAAAAAATGTGTTTTATAATAAATATGAAAAAAATATAAAAAGTTCAAGATGTACACATGACGCCGTGCGTATCCTTTACTTTTTTTTTAAATGATATTAGACCATGGTCGGTAATTTTAAAAATGTTGAAAAGTGAAAAAAAAATATAGTAGAATGAAACCCATTAGAAAAGGTAGAGAATATAACAAAAATGAAAGGAAAAATAAATTACGGGCGATCTGAGGTCGGGAAGGGGGAGGGGGTGAGTTTTTAAGGGTAAAAAATGGTTAATCTCGATTTCCGGTAAAACTGCAAGTCCTATGAAAAAAAGTTAAATGGCAAAGTTGTAGGTAATAAAAAGATCTACAACTTTTGTATCGACACTTTTTTCACATAACCTCAAAATTTATGTGAAAAATGCGAATAACCGAGTTTTTGATTTTTATT